CCTTTGTTTGGAAAACAACTCGTACGCTATAACTTGTTTTAGTCATGGCACTTTTCGCTCCTCTTCTTTACCTCTCTTCAAGTTCATAGGAAAAGGAGATAGAGAGAGCACCTGCTTGATTAACCAAGGAAATATTTTCCAAATGGATTTAATTGATGGATGTCAAAAACTTTTCAGAGAAAAACCATACCAACGAGGTCTATATAAGCTGTAATAGCATTATCTGGAATCACCAGACAGTGTCACATTTCCAAAACATTCTGAGGAGCAGGCAGAAGCAAAATTATTTGAACAGATTTTTAGTAAAAGTCAAACATGGTGAACCTCAGCCAGCTCTAAGTAGGAAAAAGAGGCAGAAATAGAAAGAGGGAAAAAACAACGCAATTTCAGATTTCTGAAGTTTTATTGGAAGGGAACCCTTATTCCAAACAATAACATCTTCTTCTTCCTCCTCCCTTCTCACCATATATCCTAGCGGGCATTCAACTTTTCTCAACAAAGTAACATGGGGTTAAATTTTCATTTAATTGCTTTTGTCTTTATGTATTTTAGTATTAAACCAATGTTGAAATTATTTTATACAACCCCATCAAAGTATAATATGCTAATAACAATAGAAATGTTGTTCATGGGAACATATTAATCATACTTCCATTATTTCTTATGGGAAAATTCATTTGGAAAATGTTTTGTTTTCATCCAAGGATCTGGAACAGATTAAGGATGAATACTGTGGTACCACTGTATTAATAGGCATTCTTAAAACAGCTATATTTACATTGGTGTGTATTCTCATCCAGTTATCAGTTGCAAGGGTGTTTGCATGAAATCAGTTTTTGTGAGGGTTGTACATTGATTTATTTTTAAATTGTTGCCACAGGGTTGTTTTATGAAAGTAAGATAATTAACAGTGTTAAAATTACCTTATGTTTTTATGCTAACTGTTATGTCCACCAGTTATGTGCCCCTGACAGCTCAATGTCCCTGCTGGTTATATGCCCCCGACAGCTGTGTCCTGTCAGTTGTATGCCCCGAAATCTCTGTGGCTTTGCCAATTATGTGCCCCTCACTGTTATATGCTTGCTTGTTATGTGCCCCTGACAGCTGTGTGCCTCAGGTAATTATGTGTCCTGGCAGCAATGTACCTTTAAAATTATGTGCTCCTTATTGCTATGTGTCCGCTCTGTGGCTAAGTCGATGCAAACGCTTCATAATGCCGGGATGCCGGGTTCGATCGCAGCTGCGGGCCATGCACCTTGCGTTGGTTTCGACAGTGGTATTAAGAAAGCCGACCGTCCAGAAAGCAATGGCAAACTACTGGACATAAATTTGCCTAGAAAAACCACACAACACCCAGGTGCTGTTGGGGTTGGTTCTGCAACATCCTGTAAAGGATACGCAACTAACCTATTGCAACGTGCCTCTGTAAATTGTGTGCCCTTGACATTTAAATGCACCTGAGAGCTGTGTGCCCCTGAGAGCTGTGTGCCCCTGAGAACTGTGTGCTCCCTAACAGGTATGCGCCCCTAAAAGCTATGCACCCCTAACAATTGTGCCCCTCAGAGCTAGACAACCCTGTGCATCTGACAGCTAATGCCCTAACTTCTGTGTGTCCTAACAGCTATGTGCCTCTGAGAGTTGTGTGCCTCTGAGAGCTGTATGCCACTGACACCTAATGCCCCTAAAAGCTATATGCCCCCACCATTTGCATGCTTCCGCTAGTTGTGTGCCCCTGCCAACTGAGAGCCTGTCACCTGTGTGCCCTACTGTGCATCATGCACACACAAAAGTGTAGTTCTTCTGTTCAGGTGTTATTTTTGTTTGGTGTTTCTTATCCATGGCCATGATTGTGTTTTTGTTTACATACATATATAAATACACCGCCTTTTGTGGCTTAATGGTTATGAACACGGTTTCATAATTCTGCCTTCCTGGGTTGAATTCAGCTATTGTTACTCTTCTTAGTTTACCTTTGAAATTTTAAGTACTTTACCATAAAACCACATCTCTGAGGCTTCAAGAAATTATTTGGGTTGTTTATTATTTACAACTATATGTTAACATTTACACTACATAGCATGTGAAAATTCAGTTTCTAACCTCCCATGACAGTGATTTACTACCTAAGATGTTCTTAATTTTTAAAAATGTATTTATAAAATGGATAATATACACCCCGAATATAAATTTATGAATTGAAAAGGTTGTATTCTATTGTGACTACAAAATGTTATGCATTATTTAACCTAGTTTGTTTGGTTTTATTTATGTATTATTTTAGACATTTTAATTAATTGTTTTCGCTGCTTATTGTTTGAGTTGACTCTATCAGTACTAGAGAACTCACAGTACATTCATTTGTTAATCTTTATGTGGTGCACAAGTCTTGACTCTTCTTGTCCTATTTTTCTGTTATTCTCACCCAAACTATCTCTGTTATTACTATAAGTGCTATCCCAAAGTCCCAAAGAGGGGTGGCTGTCTGAACGGTTAGAATGCTGGGCTCTTAAATGTGAGACACAGGTTCAAATCCTCAGTAAGGTTACTGATTTTCTTTTGGGGTCAAAAACAAAATCCTAATTTGCACAGTCCGTGGCGACAGCACTGTGCGGCTGAAAGACTGCTACCTACACTGCATAAGTGGTAAATATAGACAGTAAGGCAGTGTTTATGAATGGCAGTCCTAAAGTTCTGTTTTTCACTTCATAACACTAAAACTCGTGTTGGGCATATGATGCTAGCTCCCTTATTTTTTTTAAAGCGTGGCATGGAAATGTGGTCAGTATCATACCAGCTGCCTTTACTTCCCATGATATTTCCTGTTACCGCTTTTAGACTGGTTTGACCTAGGAACCAGTTACTATAAAACAAATTTGATGAGGATTTGAACCTGTGATCCTAGGGTCAGCAGGTTGCGGTAATGATGATAAACATATTGTAATGATTTTATCCTCTTTTTTGTTGCACGTTATACATTTGTCGTTCCTTATCACATTTTATGTTTGCATGTTCTCAACACTTTGAACTTCTGGCTTTTCTCTACCTTTTTTTATTTTCACTCTGGGGGATGGAGCAGTGTTACTTCGTCATGTTGAATATATGACATTAGTATACTTGGAGTCACCGACTGAACAGAGAAGACCAGTTACGGAGATGAATGGAGGCTGGTGATATCTACAGCAGTGACGGGCAGCTGATATCATAGTCAGCTGATGTATAACCTTATTGTTCACCTAAATACACATAAGTCATTTTGTGAAATTTTTTTAAGTTGAGAATCAGATGTTACTAGAATATTTAGTATATATATATATATATATATATATAAGTAAAAAAGTAAGTAAAGGACCCTTTTCCACGCCTTTAGGCGTATAGGGCATATAGGGCTAGACCTATATTTTGTAGACCAACGGCATAAGATGGGTGATGTGGTCAGCATCACGCCGGCCACCTCTACTTCCCGGGACTGCACCCGGTACCCACTCAAGGCTGGGTCGACCTGGAAGCCAAGGTCATTTTTTAAGAAAAGTCCGGCTCCGCCAGGGAGCGAACCCATGACATATATATATATATATATTAATATATATAATATATACACACACACACACACACACACACATATATATATATTATATATATATATATATATATATATATATATATATATATATATATATATATATATATATATATATCTGTGTGTGTGTGTGTGCATGTGTGCTTGGTGAGAGAGAGAGAGAGAGAGGGAGGGAGAGAGAGAGAGAGAGAGCGAGAGAGAGAGAAATGATTGGAACCCAAGAGTAAGAAATTGCTCGGGGGACATGTGCAGTTGTCACTATACTACTTGTACATGGCTGATGTGTGCATGCATGCGTGCTCACGCATACAGATGTGCATGTGCATAGTTGTTAGAAAGACTAAGGTGTGAAGAAGGGAAGTGATCACCTTAGCTCATTATTTAGTTGCCTGCAGTGTAAGAGAGGCTTGAAATATCTACCTTTACACCCGCACACAAAATAGACCTGATCAGAACAATTGTGATCATAATAGATGGTGAACCATGATTGCCTATTTGTATGGCATGGCACATGGTGATGCTAATTATAGGTAAGAGGGAGCCATTGTAGGGTAGGGACTAAACTCTCGCCTGCTAACCCTATGGTCAAGAGTTCAAATCCCCATGGAGGTGGATTTTCTTCAAAATTGACATGGCCTCACAAGTCCAACTCAGCCTAAAATAAGCACCAGGCCGTGTTCTGGGAAGTCAGAAGTGATGTTGACCACAGTTGAGTTGAGTCAAGAATTGACATCACAGCACTCAGGGCATTCCCATGTGTGCTCCGTCCATATCTTCAGCAGCCAGCGCAGAGTTCCCATACTGATGGTACTGGTCACAATCTGGTTTGATGTTGTCCACATCACCCATTGAGTGCTTAGTGGTATTTACAAATATAAGTCTGGCATTAAATGCCTGGTTTGCTAGAAGTGATTTTTCTTCTTCTTCTTCTTCTTAGCGTTCCCTGGCTGTGAACTTTGGCAGAAAGTTCTAGTGGTTTGTCCACCTTTGGACTTTAGTCCAGTTCCAGAACCTGAGTTTTGCCTGCACATCCGTTTTACGGAACTGGCTTTTGTGTGTGTGTGTATACAGACCGTTGGTTGCTCGCAGGCAGATGTATCCTTACTTTGAAGGATACACTCCTAATTAGTTGACTTTTACGACCTGCTCGCTAAGGTGCAGTAGGACTTTTTAGAGGAATGGGTCTTTTCTTTGTGTCACCCTCTACCGCCCCCCTCCCCCAACCATGGGGCTCTTGAATGTAAACAGGAGCGTCAAAGGAGTGAAAAGGGTTTATGTGTATGTGTGGTCTTACATTTACATGCATACACCCCCATAGTAAGTTATTTCTGTATTTAGTAATATTTCACAATAAGTTGAAAATCTATCACCTGTGTTACAGTATGATCTCATGACATGCTTTATTTTAACATTCCCACAATAGGGTTTACCACATCCACCACATTGCCAGCAAATAAAACTTCATCATTCCTGAAGCAGCAGACGTTAGCGGGAGCTACGGGATCCCTGACTTCTGCCAATAAAACTGCTTCTGGCACCACAACTGCTGTCAGTGTGAAGAATGGACACCGTGATGTCGAGCCACAGGGCACATCAACTGTAGGTCCTGGGAGTTCTGTAGTCTTTCAGTTGGGAGACAGGTAAGACAGATGGCTTTGATTTACCGTATGACTTCGAGTATGCCTTGTCACTTATTTATAGTTTTAGCAAAAGTGAACGAAAACCGTTTAGTGCAGCGAAGCCTGACATATGATACCACATCTAGTTTTAGAATGAAGTTGGAGGCAGTCACTACCGGATTCGGCTGGCTTCATAACTAGCTGCACACCTGTGTTGTGATTGTAACTGACTCACAGTGCATGTTGATAAAGGTGGAGACATGTATGCTCTGTGTAGTGTGGCAAGCATCGCTTCAGAGATCCTGGGTAGTTAGCACCCTTGGGATATTTTTTCAAGGGTAATCAGGTGTTTTGGGAAATGAACAGACTGACTGGCTGGTTCTGGACCACTTTGCGGTAAATTGGTGCATGACAAACTAGATGTTATCAGGGCCCATTTGTAGCAAGTAAACAGTGTAGAGACGCAAAAAGATCTTCATAGTCTGAAGAGAGGAATAACCAGTGGATCTGGCTGATGCTTAACACTCCAGAGAAAGAAAAAAGGCGCGACAGACAGTCAGACTGTTATTGGTACTATCTAAACTGAAACTCAGCTTTTTGCCGAAGATGGGAACGAAGTGCTTTAGTGCTATGATGTTGGTTTTTAACAAACACATCCTGTCATGTGATTTTCATATCTCCCTATAGCACAGTATCTTCTTCTTCTTCCTATTATTATTATTACTATTATTATTATTATTATTATTATTCACTCACTATAAACTCTGGCAGAAAGTTCTGGTTGTGTGTCCACTCCTGGACTTTGATCCAGAACTTGAGTTTTGTGATGCACATTCATTTTATAGACCGGACTTATTATTATGCAGACTGTTGGTCCCTTGCCTCTCAGGCAGATGCACTCTGACTTTAAAGGAAACATCACTAATTATTAGCCTCCTACAAACTTCTTGTTGGAGTTAGGGGGGGGGGGGGGTGAAGGGGGGAGGTGGAGTGGGTATAGTCTTGTTCTTCAGAAAGGAGCCATTGAACCCACACAGAGAAAACACGGTGTAATACGCTCATCTGTAAAGGTGAAAAGGTGCCAGCAGTCTCACTTATGTTTGCTATGAATTGTTATGAGGTACTTGTTTTCCTTCTTTTTATACTTCTCTTCTTAATTATCCTCTGTTCATCCTCCTCCCTTTCCTTCTTAATCTTATCCTTCTCTTCAACTTAAATGTATTTCGAGTACCACTAGTTTTTAAAAAAAATAATTCATTATATCAAATGTAAAGATCATCCATTGGTCCCAAAATGATTCATCCATATGCCCCACTAGTAAATAATTAATTAACCTCACTAGTATGTTATAATATTCTCACTAGTATGTGATTCAAAAATAATTCCTGTCTCTTTATTTCTGTCCAGTTCCAAACATCAGCGCTCGCATTCAAGTGCATCACTGTCCCTGGTCAACCCAGGTATTACAAACAACAGCCACCTTGGACACGTTCAAGGACCCACCCAGGTACACCATGGTGCTGCCCCCACACAAGCCACACCTTCAGGACTCCGCATCAGCAACTCCTCGGGAAACCTAATGAATGGTCACGCAATTAACAGAACCGGTAGCCTTACTCTGAAACTGTTCTCATCTGCTTCAGGGAACCATCTGTCAGCTAGAGCAGCCCTACCACTATCTACTGCTGCAGCTGCTTCTGCTGATTCCCCAGAAGAAAAGATACAGCAGAATGGTGCTGGGCAAGCTGATAGTAACAGCAGCTCACCAGTCGACTCTGAGAATGCTTCCGCCAGCAGGCAATCTCCAGTATCACTGTCTGATTCTAATAGTCTGGCCAGCAACATGCTTGTGAAGACAGGCCAACTGGAAGATGCAGATACTGCCAGTTTGGGTTCTATTCCAAACAGCCAGTCCAGTTCTGTTCTGTCTAAAAGCAGACATGAGCCTAGTCCTGAACTGGATCGCAGTAGCCAGGAAACAGATTCTCTCCATGAATCCAAGGAGGGGGAGGCAGTGATTGTATCTCCAAGGAAGAATGGAAAGAAGAAGACATTGCTGCCAAAGTTTTTGCAGAAGAATAAAAGCAAGCAGAAAACTGCATAGAAAAGTTTATGAACGCCTAATCACTAGGTTGCTTTTACTGTTTATTGGGTACATATCCATAAGAGAAATCTAGCAAAAAAGAATTCTGGTGTTTTAGAATTCTAGCATTTTAAAGTTCTGGCATTAGAGAATTTGACCGTATTAGGATAATGTTTGTGTTTGAGAAGTTTGGCATACTAGAAGATTCTGGCAGTTTATAATTCTGACATATAATAAGTTTGATATATTAGGTGAATGCTGGTAAATGATAATAATTCTTGCACATTAGAATTGTGGCTTTTGAGAATTCTGGCATATTTGGAGCATTCTGGTTTATCCAAATTCTGACATATGAAAAGTTTGGCATATTAGGAGAATGGCAAAAAAAAAAAATTAGAATTATGGTTATTAGAACTCTGGCATGTTATGAAAATTTTGACATATAATCAGAATTCTGACTCGTTATGAGAATTCTGGCTATGAGAATTCTGAAAAACATAAGAAGAATTCTGGCATTTTCAATATTTTGTTTTTGCTTGAAAATCAGCCTCATCATCATCTTGTATGGCAAAGACATGCATGTCATAAGAGGTAGCCAAGGAGGGTTGGTGTGGGACTGACAGCCTCATCCTGTAGAGGACTTTCTCTGCAAATCCAGCAAATCATGAGTAACAAGTCTGCCTAGGGATTGACAGGAGTTGGTTGAGTGCCTCATATAAATTGGTTGAGGGCCTGTACTCCATTTAAAGATGAAAACAGTGGCAGCTCATGGATAGACATTATGGAACTGCAGCCTCGAGTTGGTTGAGGTGGCCAAAAAAGGGTCATGACCTGCAGGTTGAGAACCGCTGTGCTAGAGGGAGGTATAGGGGTTCCTTACTCTTATAGGACTGCATGTTACACCTGGCTGGTGAAGCTGTTACAGGTGTCTTAATTATAATGTCTTTGGAGGTTGAGTGGGGTAGCTGTGAACTACCTTGTTGGTTTGCCATCCAGGTTGAGTTTTTTGTCATCTCAGGATGGTACAGTGAACCTTTAAGGAGCAGCCCAGAAAGTATAAATGGATCGGTACGAAAACCACCACTAAAAAGACCAGTTAAGGTCAGGGATGAAGCTGCTCCTTTACATAGTACAAAGTCTCAGCAGTATTGTAGAGACTATGTGTTACCCATGATGCATGATCCCTTGCTCGGTCTTCCTTGTTTACTCCAGAGGGAACGTAGCACCAGGACATTTGGAACACAGCTGTCCACCTTTCAGGGCTTCCCTATATGTATGTTTATTTGAATATGTGTGTACTTGTTGGGAGCCATATTAACTCTTATCAGTTGCGGGCAAAGCTTGTTGTGTAGTTGGCTTTTCTTTTTGAATCCTAGCCATCACCTCATGTATTCTCTAATTTTTTACATGTGGTCATAACATCCTGAAGTAGTATGTCCCCAGTCTACCTTCAAAGCAGCAGGATCTTTCCTTCAGTGAGCATCTTACAAACTTATGCTAAACCATAGCAGCCTTTTCTTTGTTATCTTCTTCTTCTTTAACATTCTGAGCCCTTGAGGTTCATTGCTACAGATATAACCAGCCTCGATTCATCTCTGTGATTGGCCTTCTCTTTCCATTTGGTGACTGCAAGTGTTTCTAGCTCTGCCTATATATTATCTCTCCATTGTCATCTTGCTCTGCTTTGTTGTCCCATTAAATTCTTCTGTTTATGCAATGTTTGTAACTCTTATCTTTCATCCTCAGTGTATGCTTCAATCATTGCAGTCTCCTAGCTCTCATGATGCCAGTTATCACCTGTGATTTAAACGGATTATGAATTTTGTTGTTGCTTTTTACGCTTCATTCTCTGTTGATTTCATATTTTATATGTCTCAAGACCCTATTTTCATAAGTTTGTAAAATGGCTTAATTTCTTTTTGTTGTACTCCAGGTTTGAGAGCCATTTTGGACAGTTGATCTCACTCTGTGTTTTGTATATTGTAAATCTGGTGTTACAAGAAAGAACGTTTAATTTTAAAAGATTTTGTTGGCCAAACTATACTTTATTTCCAGATTGTATTCTAGATTGTATTATGCCTTTTGAAATGTAATACCCTCATGATTTGAAGATATCTGATGTGAAACATTCTGGGCCTGGCATGGTTATGTTTTTTTTTCACATAAACAGTTCTTCTTTTTCCTCCTCTTCTTTGTTCGCCCTTAGGAGGACAGTTGGCATATTATGTTGGGGTTTACAGCTAGGATGCAGTATTTGCACCTTTTGGTCCATCACATCTTTCAGCAAACGTCTTAAAGTCACCTGTTATGACAGGCTTATTAGTGGGCAGTGGGTTTATTATGTTTTTCTTCAACACTGAGAAAAAAAAATAAAATTAATAGTCTGAAAAATGCATAATTTATATAATTTTTGTAACTTTTATATTTATTATTTTTATTTATAATTACATCTGCACGGTGAAGTGGTAAGACAGTTTGTCTTATGCTCTGAAGGTTGTGAATTTGGTTTTATACACTGTCTGTTGGTTCGTGAATGCAAGTATTTTTTAAATCTGTTGGTGTAATTACTGGAGCTGCAGAGTTCTTCGTGTGAGGCTCTACAGAGAGACGAAGCCACATAGGATAAAACCTGATGCAATGGAGTTGATGCTGTCGCCTTTTAAATACCATGTGTGTATGGTGCATTGTATGTGTGCATTCACTCTAAATTGCATGAACAGAGCTCTGTCACATGTACTAAAACAAACAAACATCCACACAAAAACACATGCACATACACACACACACACACAATCACACAGACACTCTCTCTCTCCCTCTCCCTCTCTCTCTCTCTTTCTTTCTTCTACTAAATATGAATAATTGACAGTTTTTTTTCTTCAAATTGCCATTCATAATTTTTAAAAGATTCCAAATCATGTAAACAGTTGCTAACATGTGTGAACTTAATTGAAAATAAATGTATATTTGTGGGATCTGTGTGAATGATTATTATATATTTTATTGAAGCATTTATTCTTTCTTGAAATTTGTTTATTGGCATAATTTATTGAAACATTTAGTTGTTCTGTGAATTAGTTAGTGAGTATGCTCTAGTGAAGCTGTTTTACATTTTTAAAAGTATTATGTGAGTCATTTAGCCATATCTAATTTATTACTATAAATTATGGTGTAAATGTCATTTGGCAGAGCATGTGTCTTTTCTTTGAATAAGTGTATGTGAATGCTATTAGTCATGCATTTATTCTTACTGTAAATTATGGTATGTCATTTGGTAGAGCATTTATCCTTTCTTTGAATTATTGTATGTGAATGTCATTTAGTCATACATTTATTCCTACTGTAAATTATGGTATGTCATTTGGCAGAGCTTTTATCTTTTCTTTGAATTAGTGTATGTGAATGTCATTTGCCCACTTAGAGAGAATGCCTTGTGACACCATACCATACAAAGCATACATGGAAAGAGAAGAAGGTCGTAGAGCATGGGGTAGACCAAGAACAAGATGGAAGGATAACATCAGAGAAACTCTACAACAGCACGATGTGCCTATGGTCGAGGCAGCCAGAAGAGCTAGAAACAGAACCTTATATCTCCCTCGACACCCACAGCTGTAAAAGAGGAAGTGAAGAAGAAGAAGAAGAAGAATGTCATTTAGTTGTGCATTTATTCTTACTGTAAATTATGGTATGTCATTTCGCAGAGCATTTATCTTTTCTTTGAAATAATGTGATAGTGTTATTTAGTGGAGCTTTTATCTTCATTTATTTTATGGGGAAAAGGGGGTTCACAATAAGTACAAGGTCCGACAATTAAGTAATGAGACTAATTCCATAAAAATTTAAAGTAATCAACAGTTGAAGATATAACCTGCATCTGATTCAAAGTAAGCCCCTTGTGCATTGAAACAGCAAGTGGCACGATCTAACAAACACTGGAACGACCTCTGTAGTTCTTCTGTTGTTATGGCAATTAAAGTCGATGGTATGGCCCATTGGATGTCATCAATCTCGTTAAAGAAGCATTTTTTCAATCGTAACTTGAATTTTAGGAATAGAAAAAATCACAGGGAAACAAATCTGAGAAATAGGGTGGAAGGCTGAGAACACACACTTGTTTTGGGGCCAAAAATTCTTGTTTTGATGATGTCTCTCGGGTACTCAACCCAGTTATGTGTTTGATCATCAGACAACGAATGTGGTACAAACCGTAAAGCAACTTTTTTCTTCCCAAAATCTTGCATCATTACGAACATAAATTTGGCGTCCAGGTCTGTGTGCATTACTAATCATTTCTACACCATTTTTGAATCGTGAATATCACCTGAAAATTTGTGCACGAGATAAACAATTATCCCCATAAACTTGTTGCACCAGTTCAACTGTTTCAATGGCGCTTTTTAAAAAGAATTTAATGTTAGCTTTTTGCTCCGTGCTGATTACGTAACAATGTACCCCTGACTAGGTCAACAAAATAGCGAGTGGTTTAGAAACAAAAGACCTTTCTCATGGCTGACAGTGATATGAGAGTCACACCTTGGAAAAAGTATTAGGTCTCAACACTTAATAATCTCTAAGACAGCTGCAAGCCTCCATTGTGGAGACGGCTTTCAATACCAATACAGCTTAGCGCATCACCAGTTCTCCTTACTCGTAAATTGTAAAGCTCATGAAGTGTTTAGTGTCATGTGGCCACTATTGTCTCAGCTGACCTCTGCTGACGGATTGTGAATTATAAGCAGATTTGCAATGTTTGTGAAGAGTAGACATTCCTCATAAACTAGACATTTTCGTTAGATTTCAACCAATTAGATCAGACCTGCAGCCCCCTCCTATTTGTGAAGGCCCACCCCTTTATTTTTAAAGTCATATCTACAACAACAACAACCAAATCTGTATTAGAGTTGCAAAAAAAACCACACACAGACACACACATCACACACGCATAAACACACACAGAGGGTTGAGGTTTTTTTTTTTTTCTTCTAAAAGATATCACAGAGTTCTTACATTTGCCCTTT